CAACATAATGATGACTGGTAGATAATTAGTTATTAGTGGTACTGCATTTTAATTTAGAAAGAGCAAATCTGCTTATGAATTATAAAAATTAGTAAGACCGCTAAAGCACAAATGAAATATTTAGGTTCGCAATTAGAGGATTTACGATTTAGCGGGCTGGTGCCCACCACTGACCTTTAGCTACACGTTGTTAACATCATATTTTCGCTCGTCTTGTCCTTCAGTAAGCTTCAGCTGTCAGACTGGTTTTTCCTTCCTGCAGTAAAATAATTGTTCTGATCAGCAGCAGCTTGCTGCTCAAACAGAACCTGAACAGAACCTGAACGGGGGCTCGGGCCGTGGTGGACCATCTCCCGAGCCCCCCGAGGGAAATGCCCACAACGGCTCCTGTTTTTAGCAGGAAGCTAATTAAAGCGGCGGAGCAGATGGCGCCGACTCGGTTCGGACATAATGAGAGGGAGAGTGGCGAGACGAAGTGGACATGGCAGGACAGCTGTGAAGAGAGGTGACCAGGATCCAGGAGGGTCCCAGGAGGGTCCCAGGAGTCCTGTTTGCTGCTGCCAAGAGCTTTTCCAACTCCAGGAAAAGTTGGGAGCAGCTTTTAAAGAAGCTTCTGGGTTCAGTTAAGGACAAGTTTCCCCGTGGCAGCGAGGTGTTTTTGTCTTCTTGGTCCTAATCCGTCAATCTTGGCAGGTGGTTTTTTTGGTAAACACCAAATCCTCCACACCTGTTGGCAGAAGCTTTTCTTCTTCCAGCTTCAACTGAAACACAGGGTGAAACAAACAACTGTGCCAAAACCAAAGTGGGCGTTTTTTTCATRCCCCTGAGGGAAATTAAAAACAATATAAATAATTCCTAGAGGTTCAGAAAGCATCTGAGCGACCCGGTTCAGAAGACATGTTGGGTGCTTTTTCCGTCGCTCCTCGTCTAAAGAAGAGGTCAAAGCCGGCAGGCGAGGTGGACCTGTCCAGACGAGAGGAGACTAAGTTCAGGAACGTCCGGATCTTCCTGGTGGAGAGGAAAATGGGCCGAAGCAGGAGAAGCTTTCTGAGCCAGCTGGCCCGGTCCAAGGGTTTCACTGTGGAAGACCTCCTCAGGTTGGAACAAGAGCTTGTTTTTACACCTAAAAGATTATTTTCATCCTTTTAAATAAGAAGCTTAAACCAGCAGGATAATAYAAATATAAATGTTTTTCTGTGTGTTTGGTCCAAGAAGAGATTTATTTTCTTGTTGATGTTTAACTAAAYGCCTCGTGTAGTTTCTGAGGACAGAGTTGAGGTCTGCTTGGCAGCCATGTTCTGACGCRGGGGTCCAATTAGCTAATTATAGAACCACTATTTCCTAATGAATAGTTAATTTAAAAAGATGATGGCATCCATCATGCCTCTGCTTCACTCAGTGGATTTCCCTGCTGAGCCAGAAGTCACAGCTCCAACACAAAAACACTGAACCAGGAGGTTCAACACAACAAACAACACAACAAACAACACAACAAACAACACAACAAACAACACAACAAACTCTCCTGAATGAGACTAAATGTTTCAGACCGCTCCGTGAATCCACCTGATGTGACCTCAGCAGGTCCACATATCAGAACCAGGTTCTTCTGATCCACCTGATGGGACCTCATCAAATACTAATAAAATCAGTTTTACCTACTTATTTACCTACTMACTTTGTTTTTTACGTACTTTTGTACTTACATACTTTCTTATTTACATAGTTTTGTACTTATTTACTTACTTTACTCAATATTTTATTTATGTACTTACTGACTTATTGACATACTTACTCACTTATGTACTTTCTTACTTGTGTACTTTTGTACTTGCATACATTATGTACTTTTGCACTTACTTACGTACTTATTTACATACTTTATTTACATACTTTTGTACTTATGTACTTTTGTACTTACTTACTCACTTACATACTTCCTTATGTACTCTCTTACTTACATACTTTTGCACTTATTTACTTACACACATAGGTACTCTCTTATTTACGTACTTACATACTCGTACTTATTTACTTACTTTTGTACTTTTGTACATATCTACATACGGTACTCTCTTACTTACATACTCTTATACTTATTTACTCACTTTTGTACTTTTGTACTTACTCACATACAGTACTTTCTTACTTACATACTTTTGTACTTACTTACTTATGTACTTACATGCTCTTGTACTTATTTACTTACTTTTGTACTTACCAATTTACTTATGTACTTTTGTACTTACATACTTACGTACMTTTGTACTTACGTACTCACTTACTTATGTACTTTTGTACTTACTTACTTACATACTTTTGTACTTATGTACTCACTTATGTACTTTTGTACTTACTTACATACTTTTGTTCTTACGTACTCACTTACTTATGCATTTTTGTACTTACTTACGTACTTTTGTACTTACGTACTCACTTATGTACTTTTGTACTTACTTACATACTTTTGTACTTACGTACTCACTTACTTACATACTTTTGTACTTATGTATTCACTTACTTATGTACTTTTGTACTTACTTACATGCTCTTGTACTTAATTACTTACTCTTTTACTTACATACTTACATACTTAAATACTTAGTATTCCAGAGTAGTCTTCTTAAGGGCCTCCAGGCCTGCAGGCTGCAGGCTGCAGGCTGCAGGCTCCAGGCTCCAGGCTCCAGGCTCCAGGCTGTGGGCTCCAGGCTGTGGGCTCCAGGCTGCGGGCTCCAGGCTGCAGGCTCCAGGCTCCAGGCTGTGGGCTCCAGGCTGCGGGCTGCAGGCTCCAGGCTCCAGGCTCCAGGCTCCAGGCTGTGGGCTCCAGGCTGCGGGCTGCAGGCTCCAGGCTCCAGGCTGCAGGCTGCGGGCTCCAGGCTGCGGGCTCCAGGCTGCGGGCTGCAGGCTCCAGGCTGCGGGCTCCAGGCTGCGGGCTGCAGGCTCCAGGCTCCAGGCTCCAGGCTCCAGGCTGTGGGCTCCAGGCTGCGGGCTGCAGGCTCCAGGCTCCAGGCTGCAGGCTGCAGGCTCCAGGCTCCAGGCTCCAGGCTGCAGGCACCAGGCTCCAGGCTCCAGGCTGCAGGCACCAGTCTCCAGGCTGCAGGCTGCAGGCTGAGGGCTGCGGGCTGCAGGCACCTGGCTCCAGGCACCAGGCTCCAGGCTCCAGGCTGCAGGCTGCAGGCTGCAGGCTCCAGGCTCCATGCTCCAGGCTCCAGGCTCCAGGCTGCAGGCTGCGGGCTGCAGGCACCTGGCTCCAGGCACCAGGCTCCAGGCTCCAGGCTGCAGGCTGCAGGCTGCAGGCTCTAGGCTCCATGCTCCAGGCTCCAGGCTCCAGGCTGCAGGCTGCGGGCTGCAGGCTGCAGGCTGCAGGCTCCAGGCTCCAGGCTCCAGGCTGCAGGCTGCAGGCTCCAGGCTCCAGGCTCCAGGCTGCAGGCTGCAGGCTCCAGGCTCCAGGCTCCAGGCTCCAGGCTCCATGCTCCAGGCTCCAGGCTCCAGGCTGCAGGCTCCATGCTCCAGGCTCCAGGCTGCAGGCTGCAGGCTCCAGGCTCCAGGCTCCAGGCTCCA